AATATTGAAAGCAAATTGTAAGAGGAGTTGAACGGGGCAGTTTGGTGATATTCAAATATTTTGTTTCATCTCCAGTAGATTGAGATGCAGGATTGTGCTTTATTTTTATTTAAAAATGCTAGATACAGCATTTAGAACAAAAATCATTCTAAAATTAAGATGTATCATCACTTTGGAATTGCTTATTGTTCAGATGTTTCAAGCTCTATTTAATGTGATAGGATCTTTTGACTTCTTGTTGGTGACATTAGGTTTATGAAAAGTGAATACCACAAGTGTTATTTTTATTTAAAAAATACTAATTTTACCTTTCACTTTGGAACGCCTTAGCGGTTGGCAGTAGAATTCTTATATTAGAGATAGTTTTAAAAAAATGGGAACGGTTCCAAGCTCTTCCTTTTCTCCCATCTGCCTTAGGTGACTGAAACATTCCCATAAATAACTGGTACCCTTTTGAACTGACCTTCAGGTTCATGTGATGTAAATATTGATGGCCTTGACATTTCTTGGTATGTGCACAGTTCAGGAGGCACGATACGTCCAGATAACTCAAAGCAGGTGGATAAGTGGGTAGATAGCCATAGTCTCTTACCGATCCCTGTAATTCAGAGGGGCCCTTGCCGTTACCCTATTTCTGGACTTTGTTCAGGGAGAATGTCTTAAAGGCAAAGTAATCTACTAGTTCTGGTCCTCTAGGCCTTTCTGTATCCACATCTCTCTGGATTGGACCCATGTTTACCTGGCCTTATAATAAGAATTTTTTTTTAGGAATAATATGTGAGTTGTTTATTTCCCCCCTTTAACATTAAGGACTTCAGTACTACTACAAGGGTGATGGTATACTAGCTAATTTTTGAGCTCTGGAGCCAGAGTTCCCAGGTTCAAATCCAGGTTCTACCACTTACTTTCAATGTAATGTTAGGCAAATTATTCAGCCTCTCTCACCCTTTATTTTATCAGCTATAAAATGGGGATAATAATGTATTAGAATTAAATGAGAGCTATCCAATTGTGATGGGCACTTTAGTCAAGATTTCTTAAATATTAGGCATTAATGAACTTTCAGGTATTCTGTACCTGTAAAGACTAACCTACAAAGCTGGTAAGACCTACAGCTTAAGAAAATCTATCTATTTGGAGGTTCGCACTCCTGGAGTATATTACGTAGTTACATGAAAATCATGTTGGGTGGGGGGGAAAGAGAACGTAGCACTGACTTTGCAAAAATGGCTTAACAAGTTTTATTTTGCTATGGATTTTAAAGCGATTTTTCTGGTTTTACGGAATGTGTGTATTAGACTTGGGAATATTAGACTACTTACTTCATTGTATTGTCAAGCATTATTGGTAGCCTTAATTTATACATCCATTGTGCTGCAGTTTTCGGTGCACAACTACCCCCTGCAGCGATTATTATAGCACTTGAGAGGATGGAATTACTGCATTTTGTTTTGGGTATTTTTTTCACTAAGAAGCATGGGCACTGTGAAATGGTACTTACCCATCTGTCTGTGGGAGCATTTGTATGTATATTACCTGAGCAATTAGGCGCCACTGAGAGAGGGGGTTTAAAATGGAGAAGAAAGAGGAAAAATTGAAATAAAAATAACATGATGGAAATTACAGAAGCCTCTTTGCAAAGAATATCTAAACTGTTCTTTAAAAGCAGATTTAAAAGCCAGTTGCAACACCATTGACCATTGTCTTTAAGAAACCAAGCTCAATCCACAAAGGTGAAACTGAAGTGCAAATCTGGACACTTTCCAGGGAAGTCAAGCAGTGCTGGCTTCTAGATCTCAGATTCAAAGGAAAAAAAAAAATCCAATTTACAAAGTAACTTCTTCCATTGATTGTGAGCTGTCAATGTTTGGGTAGGTCCTGAAACATTAACTGATTAAATTCCTCAATGCTATGCGGTCATAATTATGGCCTCCGCTGTTCTGAGCTTCCAAATTTCTGTATTGACACATAGGATGTTCACTAAATGAGTAGAAGAGAGCGGAGTGGAATGTTCTGGCATCCGCTTGATCATTCCTAAAGAGAACCAGTAGAAAGACGTTGAATTCAATTTGGAGTATTGTTTACTGATTGCCTATGCTTCCTAGCACCTAATATACAGTCCTATCCCTTAAAAACACCCCTTGTGCCTGATTCTCCTTTTCCAAATACACCAGATGCAAAACTACTCTGTGCTGATAGAGGGAAGCTTCAGGTATACTTCACATCACTGAGCTCCTGGCCAGCTTTTCTCCTTTGTGTTTGTAAGCACTCACCCTTTTCAATTCCACTTGAGGGATAAGAAAATCCGCACCCCCGTATGTATTTGCTTGTCTTCATTGTTTCCCTAGGTCGCTCCACCCCCAAGAACGGAGTTCTTTCACCCATGTGGTAAGAATAGGGTCTGGCCTTCCATAATTCTTTGTTTCTCTGCGCACTTGAAAACCTGTGAGCTAATGACTTTGTGAGAGTTTCAGTGATGATGGGGCTGCAGAGATCAACACCATTTTATAGATGCAGAAACTGAGGCCTAGAGAGATGAAAAATTTGCCCAAGATCCTTAGTTAGAAAGTGTTAGCTCAATGCCTAAAATCAGTGCAATTTTGGCTTTTTCAATAAGCCATACTCAGGGGCAAGGGGAGGTTATAATAGGATGCTGGGTTCTGTTGTGGTTAATGGACTGAAATGGACTGACTAGGGAGTGAAAGAAAAAGGGTATAAAGATAGAACAAGGAAACAGGGTTTGTTTGAGATTGTGTTAAAGGGGTATCCTTTGGTTAGGAAGTGTGAATATTCTTTCTCTGATGTAAGAGAAGAGGAAGAGATTAAAAGTACCATGAAGCTCAGCTCAGATATTTTTTTAATAGTAGTTTACCTTTTATTAAAACCATGGGGCAATTACTGTTGATTCATAATCAGGTAGTTCAGTGTAATGATGTCTGGACAATTTCTGCTCCTACCTTCTTGCTTTCTTTGGTCCCTGTTACCTTTTGTTTTGCTAAAAGAAAAAGCAAGTGAATCACTGTCCAGATCTGATAACTGCAGAGATCTCTAGTGAAACCTCTGGCTCCCATCCCAGGGTGAGGTCACACAGTCTGATATTAGTTGGGTTTATGTCGGTGTGTCAACTAAAATGCAGGACATATCACCATGATTCCTTTTCAGTCATTTCTCAGGAGTGGCTCTTTGGTTAGTTGTATACTTTGTATAATCAATCATTCAGAAGCAGGGCCCACCCATGGGCATGCGTGTGTCTTTCCTTTTTCAATGGATAGTTTTACATTCATGTGGAAAACATGATTTTTAGTTGTAACTGGTATTATGGCTCTGGCCTTATCTGTGCTCTCTCCTGCTCTTAAATTCACACTTTTTTTGGCAAGTCTGGAGGTCTGGTGTCCTGGTTTCCTGGAGTCGCTTTTCATTGTTGTTTGAGGACCCTCTGGGAAGGTTCTTTGGGAAGACTTAGTTGAATTGCTCAAGAGATAGCCAAAGGACAAACAGCCATTGCTGGTGCTTCATACAATCAAAAGAATTAGTCTATATTAACTATATATATCTGAAAATAATATTTATGATAACTCATGGTGATTGAGTGCTTATTGTGTGCCAAATACTTGACGCATCTTCACAGCAACCCTTTGGAGTTTGTGCTGTTATTAATTTATTTCACAGACAAGGAAATAAGGAATAGAAGTGAATAGAGAAGAGACATGTACATTCTCAAAAAGCTTATGGTGGAGTTGTAAAATTAATACTTCATTCATTCAATGAGTTGAGTGTCTACTATCTATAAGCGGAGCTATGGAAATTTATATACCTCCTGTGCTTGTCCAAATGAGCATGCAACCGAATGGAGAAACGTTTACGTAAAACACACTTCAAAATGTGTTAATAGAGGGAAGGATTCCAAGGAGAGCACGCTGACATTCACTTGGATGACCCCATTGAACTCCTTCGGGAATCATATTGGGAACCTGGGGAGTTTTGACTGTGTTACAAGCGAAAGCAGAAGCTCAAGAGAACTGATTCACCAAAATCTGTGTGCTATATTCAGAATGTGAAGTGACACCAGTAGCTCTGTTAGGAATGAGGTTGGCAGCAACAACAGTAAGTGGCTTGGGCAGCTGAGGGAAGTGACATCCTTGGGGTCTCAGCAGCTAAATGAATACCTTGGGCATTAGCACCTGTGACATTGGTCCTCATTAGTAGATATCACTGGTCAGGACGGAGCAGGAGAGGAGGAAAGTGGCAGATACTATGTGATGGTAGAGAAGATAGTGTTTATGAGCTTATCAGTCACTCATTGCCTGCCTGCGGAGTCCATGCCATTTGTCATGGTGGTGAGAATGCATGCGCAGAAGGGAAGAGTTTGGCAACTACAGAGAAAGGAATTTCTAGTAGCAAACCTGTGCTTCAGTGTGGGGTGTGCTTTGGGGACATGACTTCCAGCAAGTGCCATGTGGCAGGTGTTTGCTCTGAGCTCATTACCGTGCCTCAGTTCTCTTTGGGAAATGGTGATGGTAATAG